AGAGCGAATCGGACACTTTCAATCTGCCCTACGATACCGGTAAGTTTCGGCTTTCTGCTAATATTATTTGGATTAACTCAAAATTAAGCGCCTTCTGCTTAAATACTAAAAAACAAAACCTGTTAAAAATACCTATTGAAGTGTGTTAATCTTTTCATGTCAAACGCCAGCAAATTTGCCAACGTCCTCCAGATCACGCTATCAAAGTCACTAAAATTCCATCTTGCGGCAGCATTCAGTTTATTTTTCATCTTAAACCATGAAAAAAATCAGGGTTTTCCAGAATTTCAGGACTGAATTCGATTTGCAGGATCAGTAATGCATTATGGAGCATACGGGTTTGCAGTGGATCCGTATGTTCCAACAATAACAACACGGGATAGATATCAACAGTTTACAATTGGACAACGAGAAGGACCATCGTTTTTGGACTATGCTGCTGTTAAGTTTTATAAAGTTTCAAATTTTTTTTTGATAGACATGCCCAGGATAATATAATGGTGTAGGGGGCTTGTTCTGGAAATTAAAGGTTGACAAGGTAATCTAAAGCCATAGTTATATCTCCATATTTTTGTGGCAGGACGCAGATTTGTAAGCTCTTTTCATGCTCCTGAAAAGATTTTTTCACTATCTCGGGACCTCCGGTCAAGAAGAAGATGGCAACTTGAGTCACAAGTGACAAACCAGGAATTTTATGCCCTTTGAGAAAGATAAACCGAGAAATACTAGGGGAAGGCTATGAGGCATCAAAATTGAATTAGAAACAGATAGCAGCAGACCATCAAGCTAAAAATTCTGCTCGCTCATGACGCATGAGCGACTGCTGAGAAGCCGGTGGGAGCCCTGTTTTGTTTTCAAACCTGTAATCGTTGCAATGGGACCAGAAAAACGTGGAAACACGAATATTTAGTAAAAGATAAGCGAATTTGGCAAAAGAAAAATTATCAACGTAGTGAAGTAAGTATCGGTGCGCGCAGGAGGACCGAGCGCTATCGCGGATCTTTGGGATAAATTATCCGAGGCGCAGCATCATAACAATGCATTTCATCCTTGCTTGAGAGAAATAGAAAAAAATGTGCATAATACGTTTGCAGTGTCCATAATGTGATGAACCGGTCCAGTGTCTATCAAGCATGCCCTGTCCTTCTCACTCGCCAAGTGATCTCATCACCTTTTTTCTTTCCAAAAATTCTGCTTCTTATTTTTGTTCAGAGCTGATCGATGGTACTTCGTGGCCTCATCTTGTCCTTGATGGCAAAATCCACGTTTAGCACAGTGCTTTATAATTTACTATTGCACTCCACAGTGTGGTCATGCTTGGCACGAGTTTGTGATTCCAGGTAAACATGGCTTATCACTGTACGGAACACTGTTCGTATTTACACTGCGAACATGGTGGCTATCCAAATCCGAACAACTGTGCTCAGTGCTTGTGTCCGGACGGTTTTGCTGGCCCTGCTTGCGAACGTGTCCAACAGACACCATGTGGAGCGCTCATAAATGTATTGCAAGCTATTTTATTAAATAATATACATGCATAGTTGTTACGGGTTTTCAAAAACCTTTTTATTCATTTTACTCTAATTGCGTGTTTTGAAAAAGTTTTCGGATTGGAATAATACACGGCCCCCCTACCCACTTGAAGTACTATCTAAATTACTGTTATTTAAAAAAAAGCCTGCAGAGTTGAGCATTAGTGTTGGTACACGTGAGAAAGTGAACAACCACTCGGGCTACTATCGAAGAAATGGCGCACATACATCGATTAGGCTATGGCCACTAACTGGAAGTATGCATCGAAAGGTCTTGGCATAGTTATTCCCCGACGATCCCAATAACATCATTAACTTCTTGATGCTACAGTCAAGCGAAAAGGGAGAGTGACATTCTTGGCAGAATTAAATTCTTGTTTGCAAAAAGATTCAATAAATTAGTCGAAAATTATAATTATCAGCTCGTAAATGCTATAAAGTGGACAAAGAATATTTGGAGATGGTACACTAAAGCGCGGGAAAGACGAACCACATCAGAGGCAAATACAGAGATCTAGTACCGGGATAGCAATCTGCAGAGCTCTTACCATCATTCTAGTGAATCCAAACATGCTAGGAGTCGAGGGAGCGAAAAGCTGATGCACTGTTGGTTGATTTCTTAATCATCTCAATCAACCCCCAATGGTCAGCTGCCTGCTCATATTATGCCAGGCTTTATATAGCTGCAAATAAGTTTGCAAACAATAATGAGCGAGTTATTTTAGCAGATCAATTATACAAATCTAAATCACACATTCTTTCCACTGCGAATAGAAGGGAACAAAAACTATGCAAATTTGCAGTGATGCATTTCTGTGAGGATTACGTGATCGTTTTGAGAATACGGCCCTTGAGGAGCAATCCCACTAGACTTATTGATGTAGACATGATGAGGCAATATAGCGGCAGTTGTCGAAATCCATCTTGTAATTAATACTAGTCCGTAACCCAAAGACAGCATCCTCAGAAGTTTGGATTTTTAAGTGAATTATCTCAATTTCATTTTTGAGCCACTTCTCCACAGCTGCTAAAGCTCACCCTACATCCTAGTTTCTGTAACTGATCAAGATACTGAGAGTTAATAGGAATTACTGACTATCGGGCCGGTCCTGGCATTCTTGATACTGAAAAAAGTTTTATTTTTTAATTGCTAGCAAAGATGGCACAGTGGGAAATAGCGCCGCTGTCGCGCAGAAGGTTGAGGATCCCTCTTCGACAGCGGACTGTCAAACCCTTCGCTGTTCGCCCATTCGTTTCGATGGTCAGTTGATGCTGACGCATACCAAGAAGTCAAATTCGCTAGCGCTTAGCAATCCCCGGGAGAAAGAACTGCAAGCACTCTTGCTAGCGGGTGATTGCTTTTGGCGTGTGCTACCACTCAGAATAACTGCAGTTGAAAATTATCGTAGTGAATGCGGAAGCTATTTTGACTTTTGATCTGGCT